GATTTTTTTTTAAATTTTTCAGTGTATTTAGTAAATCTTGCCTGTATTTTCACAAGCAAAATATAACCTTGGGTTAAATTTAATTAATGCATTACTTATTCTTCTTAACCCCTTAAGGGCCAAACTTCTGGAATAAAAGGTAATCATGACATGTCAGACATGTCATGTGTCCTTAAGGGGTTAAAGGGACACTATAGTCACCAAAACAAGTACAGCTTAATATAGTTGTTCTGGTGAGTATAGTATATCCCTGCAGGCTTTTTAATGTAAACACTGCCTTTTTGGAAAAAAGGCAATGTTTACATTACTGCCTATGAACACCTCTAGTTCCAGTCACTCAGATGGCCACTAGAGGTGCTCCCTGGGTCAGTGCTGCATAGTGCACAGCACTGATGTCCAGCATCTCCTCTTTCTGCAAGGGAAAGCATTGGATTGGCAGAGATAGTGAAATTTGATCTCAGCCGCGAGGCAGGCACATTGCTGGAAAAGAGGTATGCAAAATACATTTTCAAAGGAAGATAGAGGGGGTTGGGTACCTAAATAGTTATTTGAACACTATAGTATTAGGAATACAGGTTTGAGTTCCTGACACTGTAGTGTTCCTATAAGGAGTAAAATTAGAATCAAGTAGCTAACTTAAAAAAAAAAACCAAAAAAAAAAAAACTGTATTGTGTTAATTTTTTTCTTGTTCAATGTTCATCATGTGCTATATATTAGGGATCGACCAAGTATCGGTTTTACCGATATTATGGGCCGATATTCGGTATTTTCAGCAATATCGGCATTGGCCGATATTGCCGATAATATCTCCAAGGACCGCCAGGCTCATTACAAGCCCGACGGTCCTAGGGGGGCCCACAGGAAGCTGTTTCTTACCTTTCTTGCAGCTCCTCCTCCAGCTCCCCCCCCCCAAAAAAAATTTAAATAAAAAAAAGCCTCCCCACCCCCATTTTACACACTGCACAAACACACACTACACACACTGCATTACATACACACACTACACAAACACACACACACACTGCATTACATACACACACTACACAAACACACTACATTATATACACACACTGCATTCACTACACAAACACACATTCTGCATTCACTATACACACACACTACACAAATACTCACTGCATTCACTATACACACTCTGCATTCACTATGTATACACACTACACAAACACTCACTGCATTCACTATACACACTACACAAACACACACTGCTCCCCTGTCTAAACACACTTCATCCACTACATGTGGCATGTGTATTTTGTGCATTTACCTTTAGGATTAGTTTGTTTTTTCAAAATGCTAAATGTACAGAATATCGGCAAGTTATCGGCTATCGGCCTGAAAGTTCACAGATTATCGGTATCGGCTCAAAGAAAAAATATCGGTCGATCCCTACTATATATGCCAAAGTATGACCTGGGTATACACTGCAGATTACTTTGATGCACACAGTAATACTGGATGCATGCTCTCCTACAGCACTTTGTAAACAAATAGGGCATAAGCACACTCTCACATCATGGGAAAATGTCAGAAAGCACAGGTGCTCTGAATGTGATGTATGTGATACTGGGCACATATTTGCAGTGAGGCCATGCAAGAAGTCTTGTGTATAAACATTCAGCAGCCAATTTCAAAAACTTTTCACTGTAAGTTAGCCTTTTGAATTAGTAAAATCCTGAATAACTAGAAATCTGTATATTTAGGCAGTTTAATATCTGTATTTTTTTTTTTTTTATTAGACGTTAGTGATACATTGTGGTGAGTTATGGTGATTCAATATGTGAAATATGTGTGTCATAAAAATGCCGTTTTATGTTTTTCAGGTTCGTTCTTAAAAGGTTACTCCAAGGAACATAACCAGTTGAGTGATATTAAGTGGTCATGGTGCCTGGAGTCTTTATGTGTGTATCTGTATTGTGTTTTGCAATGAAATGCTGCACATACAGAGATAAACCCCTCTCCTGCCAGAGATGTAACGCCACTTCCAGCAGAGTCACTGGGGTGTCCGGGCTGGCTAATGTGAACTATTGCAGTCATTAGCTGAGAGCAGTTAACTAATGCTCTCAGACAATGAATGGCCAGTAGGATCAGCATTTGGCATTCAGTATTGGCTACAGCAGACTGTAGTGGTAATGAAACTTGGAGTAACCTTTTAAATCTCTACAACTCACTGAAATTGACAATAGTATTAGACCTTTTGTCTAAGTTAAGAAAATGATTAATCACAGGTACCTATTGTTTAGTTATACTTCTTTGTTAAATTCTTATTTGCATTCATATGGAAAATACAAGGCTAGATATCAATTTGGACAGTTTACATTTTGGTGCACATTTTGTTTTGCAGATGACTGAACAACGGAAGAGACGTCAGCGCATGGGTTTTGTGGATGTTCAGACGAATGCAGCACAGACAACAGCCAGTGGACAGATAGCACCCAGTCAATAAAATACTGATACAGAGTTGTTTATACACGGATTATCTATGCTGCACTGTATTTTGATGAGTACCTCTTAAGAGTGATAATGAAAATGCCGCTCTCAATGTAGCACATAATATATAAAACATACCTGGGAGCATTAATAAGTGACTGTACCAAAGATAATTTCTCTTTCTTTGTTGGAAGTTGGTAGTCAGTCAAGGTTAGAAAGAAATAGAATCATATGCAAAACTGACATGGCCATGTCTATCGTTACAATACTGTCCTAAATGTGAGTAGGTCTGGTGGGGAACAAGCAGATCTAAAACACCATCTCCAGTCAGAGAAAAGAGTTCTTTCAAGAGGCCTGGCGGTGAAAAGTAAACGCCAACAAAATTTATTTTTTAGGATTATGACCATCATCTAGCATTTGGTTAGGCAACAAGTAACAGTCTGTGTCTATGGAACTCCCATGAAGATTGGACACCCTGTGTGAATGGACATTTTATCCATATGCTGCTCATGGGACTTACACTTGCACAACAGTTGGATTGCTGCCTCTTAGCTGTTTCTAATCTAGCATTACAAGAAATATGCTGCTTTGTTCAACATTGATGTTTTGCCTCTAATGACGTATATTTAGATAAAGGTCCGCTTTGTGTTTTATAACAGAAACTAGAGACAGATGTCATCATTAATTTAGTAGGAATTTAAACGTGTACAAATATATATATATGAGAAACTAAATGTACACTACAATTAGGAATATCTTGCTTTAGAATAGATTTTAATAAAAACTATTTCTATTTTTGGAATACACATTTAATTTCCCATGTAAATGTGTTTTATAAATTTAGTTTTTAATTCACGCCCTGTTTGATATAACAATATATTGTCCCATACAGTTTTCTTATAGTACCTGCCCCGTTACAGGATGGGCTTACCTCTTTGTGTTTGTAATATTACAAACACAATTACCTCCTTATTTTCTAATTTTCTGATTTACAAGTATTTATGTTACAGCAGTAATGACATCCATCAAATGTTTACTGTTTTAATAAATATTATTCACATTTAGAACCATCATTACAAAATAGCTTTAGCGTTATAATATTTATAATGAGTTTTTGTACAGACTTAGGAAATAAGAGATTGCATTTTTGTTATGTTGTAAAGCAAATACATTTAGTTTTATTAAATTCACCTTGAATGATGATTAACTGCATTCTGTTATCAAGGTAATAAAGGTAAAATCTTAGTCAGCATTAGCGTTCAATATATTCAAGCCAAACTGCAGTTTTTATTGGCAAAAATAGCTGTGCCATATGGGATTTCAGCATTTGGATGAGATTGCATGTGAAATGTTATACAATATTAATGTCCCCTTCTTCTACCTACAAATAAACATTTTTCAAAGAATGACAATTCGTTAAAAAGAATACTTAAATATCTTCTTTAATGCATGGGCAGCCCATTTATTTCCACAGATTATTTTCTCTTTAGTGGTCTAATTCAGAGCTGTGCAACTTGCAGAACATAGACCAGATGCAGTTATACTCTTTTTTAATACATTTTTTAAATACCAAAATTGTTGTGGTATCGGCCAAGTGACTAGCACAATTTGTAGCTGCTGCGAAGTCCAGAGTTAAAGGAGAACTGTCAACCTAACACTATCTTTACATATAATGATCATTTCATAAAGTTTTGAAAGAAAATGTATTCTGTTAAATTAAGTATATGAAAAAAAAAAGCAGAAAACGCATTCTTACCTTTAGTATATGACAGTATCATTCAGAGAGATAGATATATATATATATATACACATACACACACACACACACACACACACACACACACACACATATATATATATATATATATACACACACACACACACACACACACACACACACACACACACATATATATATACATATATACACACACACACACACACACACGCACACACACATACATATTCATACATATATATACACCCTTTGGGTCAGGCAGTGTTTATTCACAAAAGTCCCAATGGCCCCTACGAGAATGGAGAAAAAACATCCTGCTGCATAAGGGATCATTCAGACTGCAAAATCTGGACATTGTTGATGAAATTCATTAACAGACCGAATTAATTCAATTTTGATTTAAAAAAAAAAAAAAAAAATCACTACTGTTTGTCAGCTGGCAGCATCACCAGCCAGTGGCAAATAGTTAAAAATCCTCTGTGGCGCGATATTTAATTATGTACTTGCTATCCAGTCAGCACATTAAAATAGTAAGATAAATGATCAAATAAAAATCCTATAGGGGTCAATAAGGCCCCATCCCATATGGGGATCTACCTTTTGGCCACTCTTTTGCTAGCCATTGAAGCCCAGTGTCTATAATACGCCCCATCCCAGATGGGGATCTACCTTTTGGTGAACTCTTGTACTAAAAGGGGGCCCAAAATATTTATTGCACCAGTTTCCTCACTACATTAGTACTGCCACTGATCTGAATATATCATATAATATAGGTATAAATTTGTTATATTTGTATAAATTTGTTATATTATATGATGTTCATTTAACACAATCTATTTCATTTCAAAACTTGATATAAGTATTATTATATTTAAAAATAGTGTTAAGATGGGGCGGAGCCAAGCAGGAAAACCGGGCAGACACACGCTTGATGGGCTCTGCAACTGATAACCCTAGAACAGCGATTTCTATCTGCAATTCAGCTAGAAAAATTGAGGATTGTTGCTCCTACATACCATGGGTCGCAGAAAAACAAGGGCGGATAGATCCAAGAAGAGCAGAAATATTGAATAATTTCTTTAAGCACATTGTGCTTATGGGCCGACACTGATGGCTACTCCGACTCCTCTGAAGAGATACTACAGAGTAGACTTACTGCTTCCACCACTGTCCTTGACGGTCCCACGGAGCACAGACCTGAAGCCTGTAACAGCTGCTACTCTGAAGGAGCTACTGAATGCCCTCCAGAAGACCATCCAGGCAGACGTAGTATCGCTCAGTGTTGATCTTTCAGGCATTTTGCAGTTTGCCTGATCCCGTATGCAGCAGGTTGTTTTTTTCTCCATTCGGTTAGGGGCCATTGGGACTTTAGTGAATAAACACTGTCTGACCCAAGGGGAATATATATGGCAGAATGATCCTGTCATAACAGCATTAGTGCAATGCTTTGCGCAGATGGAGGGTGCAAGATGCCGCAATAATCTTAAAGAGCGTTGGCTATCAAAGGCGATTCCAAATGTAGAGCTCCCGCACCTCATGAGGAGGCTAGTGGGAGCCCTCCTGTCACCCAAACATGCCAAGATTATCACATTTGAAGGATTGTTCTTGATCACAAAGCCACGAGGAGTCCCTGAATGAGCCTCAAGTAATGTAGTGGTACACTTTCACACTATCAGGGACAAAATGGCGGTGCAGAGCGCACTGAAGGGGACTTCGCCATATACGTTCAAAAACATGAGACTCATTCTATGCTTATCTCACAGGAGATACCATGCAATGGAGGAAATTCCTGCAGCCCCTCACCACACTGCTCAGAGCCAACGACATCAGCTATCGATGACTGTCACCCAGGATACTTCAAATCCAACGAAAACACTCCACCCACTCGGTACAAAACCTACAGCAAGCGGCTGCCCTGCTGGAAACCTTGGGCCTCCTGCAGGATTCCGTATCACTGCCGACAAGGCAAGAGCCTCTGCAGTGCAGCACCCATGGGACCCGTCCCGTTTAAACCTCAAAAGGCACGAAAAGGTGCTTTATCATCAGCTCCTACCTGAAGCACCCGGCACACTTTCTTGATACCAGAACGTTATCTTATATTGAAGTTTACTAATATGTTATGCATGTGCAGTTCTTAGATTGCTATGCCACACTGTTGGCGGAGCTAGTCCGCAGCCTTGGCCATTCCCAACTCCTACCTCTGTACACTAGCGAGGCAAAAACCCTCAGAGAAACCTGGAGGCGTAAAACCACCATAGGGCTATCAGCCTGACACCTTAAGTTTCTGTCCCACACCACTTTACATAAGAGAACAGGCTATAGCACAAGCAATTTGCCTCAACGGCAGGCCTACGGCACACAAATATATATATTATTATTGGTATTTATATAGCGCCAGCTTATTCCGCAGTTCTTTAAAATAAAAGGGGAATTTACCAAATGAGACCATAACAAAATGTAACCAGAACAATAGGTAGTGGAGGACATAGAAACATAGAATGTGACGGCAGATAAGAACCATTCGGCCCATCTAGTCTGCCTAATTTTCTAAATACTTTCATTAGTCCCTAGTCTTATCTTATAGTTAGGATAGCCTTATGCCTATCCCACGCATGCTTAAACTCCTTTACTGTGTTAACCTCTACCACTTCATCTGGAAGGCTATTCCATGCATCCACTACCCTCTCAGTAAAGTAATACTTCCTGATATTTGTAAACCTTTGTCCCTCTAATTCAAAATTATGTCCTCTTGTTGTGGTAGTTTTTCCTTCTTTTAAATATAGTCTCCTCCTTTACTGTGTTGATTCCCTTTATATATTTAAATGTTTCTATCATATCCTCCCTGTCTCGTCTTTCCTCCAAGCTATACTTACTTTCCTGGTAAGTTTTATCCCGCAATCCATGAACCAGTTTAGTAGCCCTTCTCTGAACCCTCTCTAAGGTATCAATATCATTCTGAAGATACGGTCTCCAGTACTGTGTACAATACCCCAAGTGAGGTCTCACCAGTGTTCTGTACAATGGCATGAGCACTTCCCTCTTTCTACTGCTAATACATCTCCCTATACAACCAAGCATTCTGCTAGCATTTCCTGCTGCTCTATTACATTGTCTGCCTACCTTTTAAGTCATCAGAAATAATCACCCCTAAATCCCTTTCCTCATATGTTGAGGTTAGGACTCTATCAAATATTCTGTACTCTGCCCTTGGGTTTTTACGTCCAAGATGCATTATCTTGCACTTATCCACATTAAATGTCAGTTGCCACAATTCTGACCATTTTTCTAGTTTACCTAAATCATTTGTCATTTGGCTTATCCCTCCTGGAACATCAACCCTGTTACATATCTTAGTATCATCAGCAAAAAGACATACCTTACCATTAAGACCTTCTGCAATATCACTAATAAAAATATTAAAGAGAATGGGTCCAAGTACAGATCCCTGAGGTACCCCACTGGTGACAAGTCCAAGCTTCGAATATATTCCATTAACTACAACTCTCTGTTGCCTGTTACTCAGCCACTGCCTTACCCATTCAACAATATTTGAATCCAAACTTAAAGATTGCAGTTTATTGATAAGCCTTCTATGTGCAACAGTGTCAAAAGCCTTACTGAAATCTAGGTAAGCAATGTCTACTGCACCACCCTGATCTATAATTTTAGTTACCCAATCAAAAAAATCAATAAGATTAGTTTGGCATGATCTCCCTGAAGTAAACCCATGTTGTCTCTGATCTTGAAATCCATGTGTTTTTAGATGTTCATCAATCCTATCCTTTAACATGGTTTCCATCACTTTCCCCACTACTGAAGTAAGGCTTACTGGCCTATAGTTGCCCGACTCCTCCCTACTACCTTTCTTGTGAATGGGCACAACATTCGCTAACTTCCAATCTTCTGGGACTACTCCTGTTAACAATGATTGGTTAAATACATCTGTTAATGGTTTTGCTAGTACACCACTAAGCTCTTTTAATAGCTTTGGGTGTATTCCATCAGGTCCCATTGACTTATTTGTCTTTACTTTTGACAGTTGAAATAGAACCTCTTCCTCTGTAAACTCACGTGTAATAAATGACTATTTATCCTTTTTCTCAACTGAGGTCCCTTTCCTTCATTTTCATCTGTAAATACAGAACAAAAATATTCATTGAGGCAGTCAGCTAGACCTTTATCCTCTTCTACATACCTTCCTTCTTTTGTTTTTAATCTAACTAATCCTTGTTTTACTTTTCTTTTCTCATTTATGTATCTAAAAAATGTTTTATCCCCCTTTTTTACTGACTGTGCTATTTTCTCTTCTGTGTGTGATTTGGAAGCTCTTATAACTTGTTTAGCCTCTTTCTGCCTAATCTTATAGATCATTTTGTCTTCCTCACTCTGGGTTTTTTTATAATTCCTAAATGCTAACTTTTTGTTTTTAACTATTTTGGCCACATCTGCGGAGTACCACAGTGGTTTCTTGAATTTTTTACTTTTACTGACAAGCCTAATGCAATTTTCTGTTGCCTTCAATAGTGCAACTTTTAAATAATCCCATTTCTCTTGGACTCCATTTAAATTGCTCCAGTCTGATAATGACTCCTCTACCCATATTCTAATTTTAGAAAAGTCTGTTTTTCTAAAGTCTAAAACTTTTGTTTTTGTGTGGTGTGACTCAGTCACTGTTCTTATATTAAACCACACTGACTGATGATCACTGGATCCTAAACTTTCACCTACAGTAATATCTGATACCAAATCTCCATTTGTTAACACTAAATCTAGTATGGCCTCTTTACGAGTTGGCTCCTCAACAACTTGTTTTAGAGACAATCCCAGTAGGGAGTTTAGAATATGTGTGCTCCTGGCACAAGTAGCTAATTTTGTTTTCCAATTTACATCAGGAAGATTAAAGTCACCCATGATGATAACTTCCCCCTTCATTGTCATTTTAGCTATTTCCTCAACTAGTAGATTATCTAACTCTTCAATTTGTCCTGGGGGCCTATAAATCACACCTACACGAGTTACTGTGTGATTACCAAATTCTAACGTAGCCCAAACGGACTCTATGTTTGCCTCACTAACTTTTATTAGGCTAGATTTTATGCTATCCTTCACATACAAGGCCACCCCTCCCCCTTTCTTGCCTTCCCTATCTTTCCTATATAAAGAGTACCCTGGTATTGCTATGTCCCAATCATTTTTCTCATTGTACCATGTCTCAGTAACAGCGACTAAATCTACACTATCAGTTGCCATTATTGCCACAAGTTCATGGATCTTATTCCCTAAACTGCGAGCATTTGTAGACATGACTCTAAGCTTATCATTTTTAACACACTTGCTACAGGCACCTTCTGTCCTTGTTTTGGGGGACAATTGGATTGATGTTTTATCACCCTTTTGCCTCCCCCTCCTAGTTTAAATACATCCTAGCAAAACCTCTGAACTGCTCACTGAGAACATTTGTTCCCTTTTGAGAAAGATGCAAACCATCTTTTTTGTACAGCTTATCTCCATTCCAAACAGAGCTAACATGAGAAATAAAGCCAAATCCTTGCTCCCGACACCATTCACCAAGCCACAAATTAAAGTCCCTAATACGCATCCGCCTGTCGTTCTGAGTGTTATGCACAGGCAGAACTTCAGAGAATGACAGTGTGGAAGCAACCTGCCGTATATCATTGGCAAAAACACTAAAAACTTCCTTAACCTCTGAAACCTCATTGCAAGCCAAGTCATTTGTCCCTAGATGGACAAGTACATCCAATTCCCCTTCCTGCTTTGCTTGCTTAACAATATTACAGATACGTCTCCTGTCTCTGTGAGCAGTAGCTCCAGGAAGACACCTCACAAGACCACCATTGTCCATCTCCACACCTCTTATGATGGAATCCCCAACAACAACTGCTTTCTATTAGGCCTCACCATAGTCTCCAAGTCGGTCTCCACAACACCACTAGCCTCAGCGCCTCTCTCCACAACACCACTAGCCTCAGTGCCTCTCTCCACAACATCACAAGCCTCAGTGCCTCTCTCCACAACACCACTAGCCTCAGTGCCTCTCTCCACAACACCACTAGCCTCAGTGCCTCTCTCCATAACACCATTACACTCTGAAAGTGCAGGAAATGAATTATGTAGAGCAACAAACTGTGCAATATGCCTTTTATCCACAACTCTAAGTCTACCAGATCCTAAAGTAATCCATCTGCCTTTCCTAGCATGTCTCTGCGGCAGTGGCTTTGCAGCAGTTCCAGTCTGAGTTTGTTCACCAGATAATTTACAAATCTCAGAATTCAAGAATACAATCTCCTGCCGCAAGATAGAGAACTGTCTACAGATTAGACAACAACCAAACCTCCAAAAAGTGGAACGTGAAACAAATGCATAGCAATTGTTACACTGAACTAAGTCTGCCATTCCAATGAGGAGAATAATTTAAATCTAACAAATCTTAACTTTGTATTTATCCTCCTGAATACCTCAGATTACCTCCAGGTTATCTCCAGAATATCTCCAACTACACACTTAGAAACAGCACTCTCCAGAATATCTCCAACTACACACTTAGAAACAGCACTTAGAAGTAGCACCAAGCTATATTAGACAAGCTAAAGACAACAAGCCTTATATAACTCCTAAAATCACCACCCACTAGGAATGTTTAACACCTGGGTAGGCCTCTGCTTATTTGCAAACAATAGCTAATTAACCAGCAATCAATAGCAAGTAACTAGCTTAATCAAATCAAATGCCTTATAATTACCAACAGGAATTCAAATCTTGTGTAATCAGTAACCTTTTCCTACAGATGAATCTTACCTGTAACAGTAGAAAAGAAAGCTCTTAGCACAACTCTTAGACAGTTGAAGCTTCTGTAAAACTTTCCAGAATATCTCCAACTACACACTTAGAAACAGCACCAAGATATATATATATATATATATATATATGACCCTGTTCAAACAAGCTTACAGTCTAGAAGAAGAGGTGGGGTATAAAAACACAATAGGAAGGGTATTGAGAGAGACAGCAAATAGACATGAGCAGAGCTGGAGGTGAGAGTGAAGTGTGGCCCTATAGGAGAAAGCTAAACTATAAGCATTCCTGAACAAATGGGTTTTGAGGGACTTCTTAAATGATTGAAGACTAGGGGAGAGTCTGACAGGGGGTCCAAAGGAAAGGAGCCACCCGTGAGAAGTCTTGCAGGCATGAATTTGCAGTAAGGGTGCGAGCAGCATAAAGGAGAAGGTCACCAGTAGAGTGGAGAGACCGAGAGGCAGCATACCTATGAATCAGTGAAGAAATGTAAGAGGGGCTAGAGTTGGTTAGAGCTTTATAGGTAAGGGTTAGTATTGTAAATTGACACCTATAGTGGACAGGAAGCAAGTGTAAGAGGAGCGGCAGGAGAGACAGATCAGACTGGCAGCAGCATTCACCATAGATTGTTGGGGAGATCAATTAGAAGAGAATTGCAGTAATTGATTCAAGAGATTACTAGAGTACGAACAAGCTCCTTGGCAGCATCTTGTTTAAGAAAGGGGCGCATGTGGTCAATGTTTTTAGGATTAAATCAACAGGTTTCAGCAACAGACTGGACATGAGGCGCCAGGGTGAGGCCAGGATTAAAAGTGACACCAAGACAGCGAGCTTGAAAGGATGGGAGAGTGAAGAAGGAGGATCAGTGTTAGGAGGAGGAAAAATAACAAAATCAGTTTTAGAGAGATTGAGTTTCAGAAAGCGGGAAAAAAATCCAAAGATAGAAGAAAAGCAATTGGTGACACGTTGTAGGGCAGCAGGGAGGAGAGATATATTTGGGTGTCGTCAGTGTACAGGTGGTAGTGGAATCTAAATGAATTAATGAGTTTGCCAAGAGAAGATCAAAAGGGGTTTGCCAAGAGAGAGATCAAAAGGGGACCAAGAACTGAACCTTGAGAGGCAGTATAGAGAAAACAAGAGGGGACCAAGAACTGAACCTTGAGGGACTCCGACAGACAGGATGAGGAGAGAAGGTGCTGTTGAAAAAAAAAAAGACACTAAATGAGCATTGGGAGAGATAGGAGGATAACCATGATAGTGCTGTGTCACAGAGACCAAGAGATTGAAGAGTTGGGAGAAGGAGTCCATGATCAACAGTGTCAAAAGCAACATAGTGGCCTTTGGATTTGGCTGTGAATAGGTCATTTGTAACTTTAATAAGAGCAGTCTCAGTAGAGTGGCTTTTTTAGGATGGGTACGACAGTAGCACGCTTAAGGGGAGCAGTGACACCAGATGAAAGAGAGCAGTTTAGGATCTATGTTAAGGATGGTAGAATACATGGGGTGAGAACTCTGATGAGATTGGGAAGTACTGGATCAAGCGGACAGCTGGTGAGAGGAGAAGCGTAGGTCCGGGTGGGGGCCGGGTGGAGGACAATAAGTCGCTGCCCAGGGGTGGGGGCCGGGTGGAGGACAATAAGTCCCCCCCCCTCATTATCATCATTGCCCCCACCCATAGGTCGTCCCCCCTCATTATCATCATTGCCCCCACCCGCCGCCCAGGGGTGGGGGGGGGGAGGACAGTAGGTCCCCGTCCCCCCCATTGTAATTTATGGCCCCCAGCCGCCGCTCAGGGGTGCAGGCCGCATAGTAAGGTGTTTTGTTTGTTTGTTTTTTACAGTGACTGTTACTGTTTAGTGGACATTCCCCTACTCACGGTATAGCGAGTAGGGGTATTGGGGAGATTTTAATCCCCCTTGTGCTATAATGGGGGTCATATTGACCCCCATAGAGTGAGGGGAGACCTGGGGGGCTTATGAAGTGTTGGGGAGCACTGCTCCCTGCCGCTTCTATCTTTACATATTATAAGGAGGGAGCCGCGTGCCGTTAGCTCCCTCCTTGTAATAAACTTAACAAACGAACACTGATACAAAGTGTTAGTTTGTTCGTCTGATTTTTCTATTCATTCATTCGTCTGTCTGATGAATGAATGGATGAAATTCCCGTTTGCATGTCCAGGTGTTTCACTGAGCATATACGGGAATCTCAGTGCTATCTAGTGTGGGCAGATGACGTGTCCCACAGGGACTTCATCTAACCACACAAAGATGGCAGCGCCCTGAATAAAGATCGGGGCAGAAAATAAAGATAAAAAATAGGTAATATGGGGGGCTTAGGGGCATTTGGGGGTGACTAGGGGGTCAATTAGAGATAGTGGAGGAGGGTTAAAAAAAACAACCAAAAAACAGGATTCGGCATGACAGTGCCGCTTTAATTCCTTAATTGTTTAATCTTGTCAGTAAAGTAACATGCAAAGCTTTCAGCTGAAAGATTAGTTTGTGGGGTGGCCACAGCAGGGCGAAGAAGCGTTAAAAGTATTAGATGCCTAGGATTAGGCATCTCAGGAGCATGAACTAATGAGAAAAAAAAAAGTAGGACTGTTTAGTAAGGGTGAGGTCTGCACTGTATGAACGCAAGACAAATTTTTAGTGTAGAAAGTCTGACAAGTTGCGAGACTTCCTCTAGCAGCATTCAGCTGAACGGGAGCATCTCTGCAGGTAGTGGGTTGACTTAGTGTGCCACAATTGGATGCACACCGTCCTTGAGGAGCGTGCTTGGTGTGGGGCTGCAGCGTCAAGGGCAGATGTGAGGGTAGCATTATATTAACGGGTAGCCAGAGATGGATAGCAGAGGGTAGGGATAGATGAGAGTTTGGAATGGAGATCAGCTGAGAGCTGCTGGAGGTCCAGAGTATTCAGATTCCTCCTGAGTTGCAGGTGGGGGTCTGATAGAGGAAATTGAGTATTAGAGATTGGAGACTGAGCATGCATTTGAAAAAATAAGATCTAGGGTATTGCACGCTACATGTGTGGGAGAATTAGCCCATTGCGATAGCACAATGGGTGAGGTAATTGAAATTTGTTTTGAGGCTACTGAGAACAAAGGCGGGCTAATGGGAATGTTGAAATCCCCTAGAATTAGGGATAGGATATTGCTTGAAAGGAAGTAAGGAAGCAAGGCAGCAACATGGTAAAGGAAGATACGAGGAGAACCTGGGGGTCGATAAATAACTGCAATGTTTACAGATAAGAGAAGGAGAAAGATACAGTATCTCACAAAAGTGCGTACACCCCTCACATTTTTGTAAATATTTTATTATATCTTTTCAATGTAAAGTGGTAAGTGTAGAGCCTGTATAACAGTGTAAATTTGCTGCCCCCTCAAAATAACGCAAAACACAGCTTTTGTTGCCAACGGTTTAGACATTAACCTCTTACGGACATGACTTCTGGAATAAAAGGGAATCACGACAGAATATTTCCGTCATCTGTCCTTAAGGGGTTAATGGTGTTGAGTTATTTTGAGGGGACAGAAAATTTACACTGTTATACAGGCTGTACACTTACTACTTTACATTGTAGCAGAGTGTAATTTCTTCAGTGTTGTCACATGAAAAGATATAAAATATATACAAAAATGTGAGGGGTCTACTCACTTTTGTGAGATACTGTATACATATATGTATAGAGATTTTAATGTGAAATTTTTTTTTTTTTTTTTAAAGTGTATCCAAAAATATTAAATCATTTTAAAGCTTATCCAAAAATGTTACATCAAGGTCTTAATTGGAAAAAATTTGACAGGATTAACTTGCTACATAAATTTAATCGCTGTGCAAAGCAACAGGCATTCTGAAGTGGTTTATGCTGAACTGGAAATTTCAGAGAATTTAAAATTATTAAAATTATTTAACACGATGACTCACAGCTGAAAATGAATTTGTGGCCTTTTCTGTTTGTCAAAACTGTGTATTTAAACAACTGAAATATGTAGGATGCAAAAAGTGTAACAAAAACATAGAAGAAATTAAATTAATCCAGGTATCAATGGGTTAAAATAAAAACTCAGCTGAAGTTGGAGGAAAGAGCCTGTTTATTTGAGCATCTGTATATAGAGTAGCTGGTGTATGTGCAGGAAGGGGCAGTGGAAGCGGATTGTTCTCTTAACAATAGCATTAGTCCTTTGCTCCATCCTGAGGGGATTTAGCATTAAATTTTTCTTTGAGTCTTGTCCACATTCCCTTTTTCATCTCTTCCATCTGTTTTAGACTGTCTGTCATCAGAAAAAAGAATGTTATTTACCATTATTTATAAAAGCTCATTCGCAAACTTTCTACAAAACTACACAAATAAATGAGTAAAACATAATAATAATAATAATAATAATAATAGGTATAGGAGACAGTGTATCTTTTTTTTAGAGCTTGGATAATGTCAGCATCAGTGGAGGCTCATACAGTACCCCAACAAGTTTTATGTCGGGAAAACATTTATTTGCAGTAGTTTAAATACACTAGGATACTTTTTTGGAGTGGAGGGTGGTAAGCCAAATAAAAAAAAAAAGGGAAAAAAAGGGAAAAAAATTAAAAGTCTATTTAATTCTGTAATAGGTTTCAGTTCTGCAGGGCCGATCCCAACTCATTGGAAACACTTACTTGAGTTTAGCTAGGCATGTCCAAAAATGGGGTTTGTTGGAATCTTCCCTGTGTCAGCAGGTTTTGCACATGCCTAGTGTCCTTTAAGAAGGAATTTCCACTGAGTTCCAATTAGGGCGGCTGAGCCTAGGAGTGGAGACATGCTATTTTCCTCTCTATTCAGGGTCCATCATTGGCTGATAATACTAGGAGATGGGGTTACAGTGCCAACAAGAGAGATGAGGAAGAAGCGTTCTTGGAAGTAACACGGAAAGAGCAGAGTAGCAGCCCCTGCCAAGTGTATAATATCTTTTTTTTTTCTTATCCGATAGCCCTAGTGACTGCTATATATATGTATGTAAATTCACTTGCTTAATTAGCCCTTTGGCAGTCACTAGGGCTATCGGATAAGAAAAAAAATAAAATAAAATGATATTATACACTTGGCAGGGGCTGCTGCTCTGCTCTTTCCGTGTTACTTCCAAGAACGCTTCTTCCTCATCTCTCTTGTTGGCACTGTAACCCCATCTCCTAGTATTGTGTGTGTGTAATATATATATTGCACACACACACACACACAGGGAAGCCCAGTGGTGACAAGAGGAGAGGAACATTTTTGAAACAGAGCACTATGCTGCCAGTCACTAATAGTTTTAATGACTCATATTGCACATATCCTTAATCTTATTTAAAGTGCTCAGTCACTGTACAGCTGAGACCTGAGGCAATCATGCTGTGGCTAGTTAAAAAGGTGTAAAGCATTAAACTGCAGGACTGTCTGTGACTTTGAGAATTGATCTGATTCGGATTTAAATCTGCCATAATTGTTGATTCTGGTAATCATGTCAGCTACTTCTTGCCTCCTCATTACCAACTGCAAACGTAAAAAGTAGTCTATCAGTGTTCTATTGTTTTAATCCTTGCACACTGTGTGTTGAGTGCTAATAGGGAGTCTGGAGTAGCGGATATGGTTGCCAACAATGAGTCAGGAGTAGCTGACATGGTTGGAGTCTATCAGTACCCTGCTGCTTTAACCATATGCAGAATGTGTGTTGAAAGCTTATGGAGTAGCTTTACTATTTTTTCATATTAGTAGCAATATTTAATAGAAAGCAAAAGTTATTAAAGCACTACTGAAGATGAGATCATGCATGGGAGAGCTGAGAGGTGGCTAGGAAAACCGGAAGAGAGAGAGCTAAAGCATTATACAAAGACATGCACTGTGTGGGAATCTGTGTATTGCAGCTCTATGTAATCCATCACAGTGACCCAGGCTGTGTGGGATAGTTATGTTATCACCTTACTGTGCCAGCTCTGTGTGTTATTTCTCTGTATTTTATACAGCTCTACCTGTTGTATGGTTATCTATGTAGGCTGTGTATTGTATAGGTATCATTGTGTTGTGCCTAACTCTGCGTATTATATAGCTATCTTTTTCAGTTCTGCTTGTGGTATGGTTATCTCTGTATTGTACTCAGCTCTATGTATTTTATAGATATCTTAATGCTGTGTCCAGCTTGTTTTATTGTGCTCAGCTCTCTGTACTGTATAGAGAGGAGTAAAATGCTAGCGGAGGAATTTGGTGCCCTACTATCAAATAACACAGAGACCTCAGCAAGCTATACTTGATGTAATGTAAAAAAACAAAAACCCCAAAACCTAGCAGGCATTTTTGGAGCCCAGATGAGTAACTGATGAATGCATAATGTATTAAAAGGTCACTGGACATAAGGTTGAAAGTGACAGTCTATTTTTAATGCACTCTACAGATATCCTATTAATAAAATTAAACATTTTCTAAAACTCCAGCAAACAGACTGCTCTCATACAAGGAAGATGCTTAACCAATCAAGAGCCTATAATTTTGGTCTCCATGTTTTTTTTTCTTTCGATTTGACAATTTTTATTGTTTTGTAAAGTATATGGGGTACAGATGAAAAAGGAGGGATAGGGAGAATCTCAAATCTTACATTGCTTTGTCAACATTCGATAGGTCTTTGTATATTAATTTTTCCATTTGACAATTTATTTTGTGTATACTTTGGGTACCAAAGGGAAGGAGGGGTAGGGTTAACAACGGTAATGCACAGTCCAAAGATTAAATAACATGCAGATACATCATGGTCTTTGCGTAGATTAGCACATCCTACTGTATTTAAGTGTGGCATAACGTAATTTAACGTATAGGCAACCACTTCGTCCAGTGTCATATATGCTTTAACACCCATTCCTCCTGCCTTTATTAATACAGTATTTGCTTAGGATCTCGTGGTGTTCGTGGCATCTTAAGTTTTGTAGTTTCCTGTGCTATTGTATGAGGCTTTGGCCTCAGTCTATTGCTCGCATGTACTCAAGATTGTATGGTGGTATATCGCTGAGTTGGCACTCTGCTTACTTTAATTTCATTACTTGTTGTAGGGGACTATGGGGTATTGCTATTGTTGCTCAATTTTAGGTTTGACCAGTATGCTTTCCACATCAAATTAGGTTTAGTTTTGGTTTTCCTTGCACCTATTTGGCTCGAGAACATAGTCTCATACATCCAGTTAGTATTGATTTGTTAAAGTGTGGTGCAGTAGGTGTTTTCCACTATCTAGAGCTCACTGTAGCTACTGAGATTAGAATGTGATAGGTGGCTGCCCATTGGACTTTATTCATCTCCTCTGGTGGTATAAATAGGAGACATGTTTCCACCTTAAGATCTATGTTAGTATTGGTTACTTGCTCTATTAGTTTGTGGATCTTGTGCCAGAAGGGTTGCAAAGCTTTGCACGCCCACCATGTGTGTACCATTGTCCCCACCTGTGTCACACCTCCAGCATTTGTTGGTTGATGATTGGGGCCATATTTTGTGTATTTTATCCAGTACTATGTACCAACGGTATTGTATTTTCCTTTGTGGTTCTAGATGGTTTGTGCCATGCCAGTTTATATGTGTCCTTTACTTTGTCGTGGTTATGTAACAGTTGGCGATAGCACAAAGATCACCTTTTTTGGGGGGTTCAATGTTCATGTATATTTTTTTTAAATACTGAGAACATTCGGTGTGTTCAGTTATATGAGTTGTTGGTTGTGTGCTCGCCAAGCATTCTCCAGGTTTTTTTATCATCTCAAAAACCCTGTCAAGAGGGTATTTAGCTTTGACTCAATCACAATTTTCTTCAAAATAATGAGTGGAAATGATTGGTAAACTGGTTGTAGGCATATCAGAGCTGCTATTAGCCTATCCATAAGCTCTGTTCACAGTTCAGTGATATTTCAATATACTGACCGTAAGGAGGGGAGAGAATTGCACAGACACAAGCTGGATAGGCTTTGGATGACCAGGAGCAGTCTAATACCTGTTATTTTTACAAATCAATCCAGTGACAGGGCAGTCTGCGCCATAACCTATGCAATTAAAATTGTTATACATGCTTAGAGAGACCCTTTAATAAAAACGTTCTATTTGGCATCCAAAATTTTATTATTTCATGTTGTTTATACATGTAATGTGTATGGAACACTTTTGTTTAACCCCTTAAGGACTGGACTGTTTTTGCGATGTTGTACATTTGCGACCAGGCATATTTTTACACTTTTGTGGTGTTTGTGTTTGGCTGTAATTTTCCGCTTTCTCATTTACTGTTCCCATACAAATTATATATTGTTTTTTTCAGGACAAAAGGGGCTTTCTTTACATACCATTATTTATATAATCTCATGTATTTTAATTTAAAAAAAATAAAAAAATATGATGAAAAATTGAAAAAAATACATGTTTTTTGACTTTTACTTGAAAAATCTTTTACTCATCTACAAAAGCGAATGAAAAAAACTGCTAAATAGATTCAAAATTTTGTCCTGAGTTTAAAAATACCTAGTGTTTACGTGCTTTTTTGCTTTTTTTTGCATGTTATAGGGCTATAGGTACAAGTAGGATATTGCGGTTTCAAAACATACATTTTTAAAATTTATCAATAGTGACATTGTAACACTATTATCTGTCATAAATCTCTGAATAACACCCCACATGTACATATTTTTTTTAAAGTAGACAACCCAGGGTATTCAATATGGGGTATGTCCAGTCTTTTTTAGTAGCCACTTAGTCGAAAACACTGGCCAAAGTAAGCATTCATATTTGTTTGTGTGTGAAAAAAGTAAAAAAACTAAATTGAACGCTAATTTTGACCAGTGTTTGTGACCAAGTGGTTACTAAAAAAGACTGGACATACCCCATTTGCAATACCTTGGGTTGTCTTCTTTTGCAAATGGTATGCCATCATGGGGGTAATTCTCATTCCTGGGCTACCATACGCTCTCAAAGGCAACGTAACCAACCTGGCCATTTTCAATGTAAAAATATTTGACCCATATATTTGACCTTGTAACTTTCAAAAATGCTATAAAACCTGTACATGGGGGGTACTGTTTTACTCGGGAGACATCGCTGAACACAAATATTAGTGTTTAAAAACTGGAAAACTTATCACAACAATTATATCATCAGTAAAAGTGCTGTTTGTGTGTGAAAAATGCAAAAAAAGTAACTTTCACTGACAATATCATCGCTGTTATGTTTTACTGTTTTGAATCAATAATATTTGTGTTCAGCGAAGTCTCCCGAGTAAAACAGTACCCCCCATGTACAGGTTTTAGGGTGTCGTAGAACGTTACAGGGTAAAATACAGTGCTAGCAAATTAAATTCTCTGGAATTTTGGCCTGGGTTGGCAGGCAGGTCCCTCAAATTGCAATCAATAAAATTACTGAATTATGTAAAAATATTACATAAATACGCACGTAGAATTTAAATATATATGCATATTTATATATTTGAAGTCTACGTGTATATTTATATAATTATTTATGTAATTTTGTATATGGACATATGTATATTTCTTATTATTTTTATTTATTTTTATATACATAGATATATATACAAATTCATTCTAAGTGTATTTTGATATAAATATATATATATTAATTTTAAAATACAGTTAGAATAAAATTTCATATAGCTATAATTTTTTTAAATTTATTATTTTAAAATTTTTTTATTTAATTTAAATTACTTATTTATATTTTATAATATATATATATATATATATATACACACACAATATATATAGTTATTATATATTATATATATATATATACACACACGTGTGTAATTTAATTATAAGTGTATTTTTATATTAATATAAGTACATATTAATATAAAAATACACTTAGTATGGCATTATATATATGATATATAGACATATATTATATAGATACAATATATGTCTATATATCATATTTATACATATATAATTATTATTATTTTTTTTATTACCATTAACTTTAATTTTTTTTTTGATTTTACAGTTGCAGGGAGACTGCCTGTCAGCACAGACAGTCCCCCTGCAGGCAGACACATGGACACCTATTGTGACCATGTGATCGCTGTGTTAAGCGATCACATGGCCACAGGGGGTCCTAATTCAGTGTGGGGAGACTGTCTGGGCTGCAGGCAGTCTCCCCACAACCGGAGCCACGCTGATCGCCGCCGGGGGAACGACGGCGATCAGGTAAGTAACGGAAACCGTTAGGACGGTTCAGGACCGTCATCGGTCCGCAATGGGAAAATCCCGATGACGGTCCTGAACCGTCCTGGGTCGGGAAGGGGTTAATGTAGTATTGTAAATATTTAGGATCAAGATTAAAGGAACACTCCATTAAAAAAAAATATTTTTTTTATTTTCTTTTTTTAACAATTTCATAGATATACCTCCAAAGAAAACATGTACGTGTTTGTTATGCACATTTTCTTTGGGGATATATAAAAGAAGCTTGAAAAAGCTACAGACCTGCTGCTATGCAAACCCACAGACCTGCAAGTCCTCCCTCTTTCTCAATGAGAAGCCTCTGTGTTCATGATTTTTATGCTTCTCAATGAGCTATAATGCTGCTCCTAGCAGCCTGGCATTAGCCCAGTGTGTCTGCGACTTCTGTTAGCCCTCTTGAGCTTACAGATACAAAATAAAACCTAATGTCCCTAATTATAAAAGTGCCAATTGCTATTGAAATCTGAACATTTATAGATGGTCACAAATATGAAAGACTCCAAACACAAAGCATTTCAACAAGCTGTGTGTCTGGAGTGTTTCTTTAAAGGGATTGTGTAGTGCACTACCGATCCATCAGCCTCTCCCCTCCTTCGCAGTCCCCCCCCCCACCCCCTACTCCCCCGGTAAATAAAGGGTTAAAAACTTTTCTGGGTCGTAGCTCCACATTCTCCTCCGTCCCACGATGAGCACATTAGGCCTCCCATAGGAAAGCATTGAATCAATTTATGTGGAAAAATCTGATGCTGGAGGTCCTCATGCAGTGCGTGAGGACGTCCAGCGTCAGATAATGAACCAAAAGTCAGTTACGATTCCGGAAGCGCCCCCAGTGGCTGTCTGGTAGACAGCCAATGAGGGCAGACTCAGTTCTGCAATGTAAACATTGCAGTTGTCTGGAACTGCATTGTTTACATTGCAGCACTAGGTGCAAAAGGGACACAGCACCCAGACTACTCCAATGAGCTGAAGTGGTCTGGGTGCCTACAGTATCCCTTTAACCCCTTAAGGACCAAACTTCTGGAATAAAAGTGAATCATGACAAGGCATGTGTCCTTAAGGGGTTAAGCATCTTTATTTATGAAAGTGCCACTTCTATAACAATATAAAAGAAATGCCCAAATTATCATTACAATTCAAACTTAAAAAACTGCATCAAGATTAACCAACTAATGTATGATAAAATATTTTAAAAAAGCTCTGTCAAGTTCTAGACATATTTTGGTGGCATCGCAGCTAGGTATGCAGTGACCAGCAAGCAGTGGAGATATGGGTACCTGAAGTTGCTCCTTTGCGGGTGACACCATCTCCATCTAGCGGATTTCTTCAGCTCCTGGCACTTCATGTGCCAGGAGCTCATGTCAATGCTGTATTCTCGTGAATGCATGAGTAAAACACTGATATCTAGGGAGGATCCCGCAAGACCAACCATAGTTTTTATCTTGCATTAGCGAGACAATGCCTTAAAGCCACACCAGTAATTAGTGACAGCTGGGGGAACTGACAAAACGGCAAAGAAAAGTACATAAGACAAAGTAGTCCCTATTTAGTCTTGTGACAAGCTTTTAGTCAAATTCCAATACAGTCAATGTGAGTAATTCAAAAAAAGATTTTATCTTTTAGCTGCTTTAACTATAAGATACAAATACAAAATATTTAAATACATGCATACACACATTCCTAAACAGTCTTACCTGTGGCCAGCACCATACGATATTCCTCGGCTGTGACCTCTGTAAAGCTTGTATCTTGAATCCGTGGGTACTTAGAGAAAAGTTGAAAACTGGAAGTTATTAATATAGCAGCTCTTGTTACAATGCAATATGTTGAAAAAGGAATATATAGAGGCATGGAGGCCTTTAAACAACATGAAAGCTCCATCTGGTGGCTATTGGTGTGAAAAAGTTGCAGGTTTGTTGCTCATATTTTGGAATTACTGATTTAGTGTTGCATTTATCATGGGTAATTTACTGTAATCTTGAAACTAAATGTGAAACAATGAGCTATCAAAAGTGCAATCCTACACAGTACATGTTATTGTGTATACACAGGTTGGCTAAATGTCTTTATTGATTTAGCGGAATAATGGAGGCAAAGGTTAATTCAGGGTATAATGATTTCTGTTAGTATAGAAATAGCAAAGATGTTGAGAGTAAGCATTATTTGTTAGGAGGTGGAAGGCTAGGAGATGAATGCTCAGTCTCAATCATAAAAGTGTATAGAAAAACAGAAATATACAAGATGGTATCAACCACGGACAAATTATTCCTTCCTATAATTACACTCATAATGTAAACACCACAAAACTGACTATAAGATTAAGAATGTACAAAAAGCAGAAAAACCCATATACATCGGATCCTACATGAGACAAAAATATATACAATACAAATAAAATGAAAATCTAGTAGAAAATCTATAGCATTTATTAAGCTGAGACAGATATGCAAAAGCACACCCAAGTCAAACAAATTCAACATGACATCTAACATTGCTGCTATGTGCATGTATCTCCAGTAGTGAATGTGCAATGCTCATCTAGAGGCAAACGTCACTACATATGTAGCAGTTCCCTACAACTGCATGACGTGCTGTGAGGGTAACATGTTAAAGGAACACAGCATGTTTTTTTTCAATTTTAGATGGGGTCTTCAAAAAAGATCTTATTTATATCCAAACCTATGGAAGGGACTGCCTTCTTGCAACAAATCTGCTCTGCCCAGGCAAACCAAGTGCTTCTCATTGGAAAATAGGGCAGTTGCACAGCTATTGCAGGCATCTCCTCATAGAAAAGCTCTAAAACCAATGATTCTTTAGGACAGTGGTTCCCAAACTGTTTTCACTTGAGTACCTCTTGGCATCCCATTCCCATAAATTGAATACCTCCCATTAACAAAATGTTTGTAATTAATATAGCTGCATTTGTCAAATTTATACGTTTTTCTCTGCCCTATATGCCTTTTTTCTCTGCCCTAGGCTCTACCTGCTTCTCCTCTACCCCAGGCTCCCTCTGCCCCAGACACACACATGCAGATATACATAAACAAACACAGACACACAGATGCAAACACTGACACACATGCAGATACACACACTGACATACAGACACAATGATACACAAACATACAGATACAAACACGGACAAAAAAAAAAAATACAGATACAAACACAAAACACTGACACACATGCAGATATACAGACACACAGATGCACACACATACAGGTACACAGATATATACCCTGACACAAAGATACATATCCTGATACACATGCAGACACACACATACAGACTGACACACAGGCATACCTATACAGACAAACCGATCCAGACACGGGCACACATGCAGATAAAGACATAAAGATACAATGTATCTGTGTGCAGTGGCGTACATACCGCGGTCGCAGCTGCAACCGGGCCTGTCACTCCAGGGGGCCTGGCCGCCCTGCGGACCCCTGCAACAGGGTACGAGCCGCCATGTTTTGTGGCCCCCGGCGGTTTGCCGTTCAAGAGGTCCATGCTGTTAGGGCTGCCCGGTGGAGATGGATTTCCAGTAAACGGTGCAAATTTCAATTAAACTGGACAAATAGAGGTGTTCTAAATCTTTTGATTGGTATTTGAGTACTAGAGTGTTAAGGTCAGCTCAGAAAAAATGCATCTCTGTTGCCCTTCTAGTTTAAATTGTGCATATCTTATTGAAGTATAATATATATATATATATATATATATATATATTCCTCAAATCATCTCTATTCACTTTGAATATAGCTTTGTACTATAAATTATGTACATCAGAAAAGAATAAATCGAACGGTAAGAAATGAGCTACAGAAGCAACTATATCACAGACATGCATATCTTGTTAAAATAGTTTAAAAAGAGTGATGTACATTGACAGTACTCCTGTAACCTGTGGGGGGAGGGAGGACAAAAGACATTTAAAATACAGAGGAATAGGTTATTTACAGTAAGACAAAGATGTTCTGTATTACATTATGTTGCTCTGTGTCATCTGCAAACATGATTTTCAATGCACTTTGAAATTTTTTATATTCACATTAAAGAGAAGTGTATCCTGAAAAAAAAAAAAAAAGCCCACAGATGCTCCAATTACCACTTTTGTCCAACCTTAAAATGTTCCATTAACTACTTATTGTACTTTATCTTTAAGCCAATTTTCAATCTAAGATCGAGAATTTTCACCTAATATAAACACATTTTTTGCTCACAGTAACCTTTTTGTGTAGAACCACATCAAACACATTAGTATATCACATATTTAGAAACACTTATCTATACAGAATGCACTTAAAGTGGCACTGTTACTTGTGAAGTCTTTGCATTTGGTGTCCTATGTCCACTTGTACCGTGCTACCCAGAAGAGGGAGCAGTGACAAAGACAGTTTCCACACACCCATTCCTCTTCAGCTATGACCCTTAATTTTCCAGGTGTCAGAGTACAACACTGGGATCTAGGGCAGATCCCACACAAGACTGTGGGACCTTACATTTATATTCTTGTGGGTGCATAATAAGACATTGCAGATGGCACATATTGCAAATTGCAAGCAAAGATGAATGGCTCTATCAGCCATCTCAAAAAATGGCAGGATTTGGAAGCACGATCCACTGCCACATTTTGCCAAAAATGTGGATCCTACAGGAGACAAAAATCGGGTTCTACAGGAGGCAAAAATTGTACAACAATATCTCTCATAACAGGCTATTCAGGTCCAATTCATGTAAAACAAGAATCCTGGAAGAACAGTACTTATTCTATTACTATAGCAAGTTCCCTTAGTAAATACCCTTAAATGTATACCAACTGGCCCTGGAATTTCAAAGGCACACTCTTTCAGTTGTTGGAATGCCTGTTCACACTCTGGGGCCCAGACTACTATTTTAGGGAGATTTTTGCTGGGTTAGATCAGTGAGTGGTTTGGCCAGGGTGCTGTAATCGAGCACAAATTTACAGTAGTACACTGCGGTACCTAGGAAGGCTAGGACTTGGGTTTTAGTACGTGAGAACCCAGTTGGCCATTTGGCTACTGCCTCTATCTTGGCGGGTCTAGGTTTTTGTTGGCCGCTTCCTACTCTGTGTCCCACGTATTGGACCTCCGCCATTCCTATATGGCACTTACTGGGCTTAAGGGTTAACCCTGCCTCCCGAATATGGTCTAGTACGGCTCCTATGTGGGTCAAATGTTCGGTCCAGGAGTGGCTGAAAATGGCTATATCGTCTAAGAAGGCACAAGCGTACTCCTGGAACCCATCCAATAGCCGATCCACCATCCTCTGAAATGCAGCCGGAGCATTTTTCATCCTGAATGGCATGACCTTAAACTGGTACAGGCCAAACAGGGTGACAAACGCCGACTTAGGAATGGCGTCCTTGGCTAGGGGAATTTGTCAATACCCTTTACAAAGATCTATTGTAGTGAGGTACTGGCCATTTTGTCTAGGAGCTCGTCTATTCGTGGCATAGGATAGGCATCGGATACTGTTTTATCATTGAGCATTCGGTAGTCTATACAGAAGCGGGTAGTTCCATCCCGCTTCGGCACCAGAACTACTGGGGAGGCCCAAAGGCTATCAGAGTGCTCGATGACTCCTAACTGCAGCATCTCCTCAATCTCCTTGCGCATATTCTCCTTTATGGATTCAGGTATGCGGTAAGGAGGTTGGCGAAGGGGGGCCTGCCCTAGGGTCTCTATTCTGTGGGTCACTAGAGGGGTATACCCGGGGAGATTGGAGAAGGTGGCCTCTTTTTCCCTAATTAAACTTTGAGCCTGTGCCCGTTCCTGGGGGTTCAAGCGCTAACCTAACTGTAACTCTTCCAGGCCCTCATTCTGGCTCTCCTTCTCTAGGAGGTCTGGGAGAGGTAAGTTATCAAAGTCCTCTGCGGCAGAGGCGCAAATAGCTGCTACCTCTTCTATGCGCTCATAGTAGGGCTTCAGCATATTCACATGGAGCATGCGTCTGCCCCCTGCTCCCGCGCACGGACCGATCACATAGGTGGCATCACAGATTTGTTCTACCACCTTGTATGGGCCCTGCCAGGAGGCCTGCAGCTTGTCACTGTGGACCGGCCATAGAATTAACACCTTCTGCCCTATCTGAAAGCTGAGGTCCCTAGCCCCCCTATCATACCATCTGCGCTGTCGTTGTTGGGCCGTCTGGAGGTTGGTACGCACCGACTGAGTCAAAGCCTCCAAGAGCTCCCTAAACTCTAGCACGTGTTCCTTAATGAGACACAAGGGACCCCTCACCCTCCTCCCGAACAATAATTCAAAAGGGGAGAACCCGGTGGACTCTTGGGGAACCTCCCTATAAGCAAATAGTAAGTGGGGTAAAAACCGTTCCCAGTCCGATTGAGTGTATATGAACGTATGATCATCTGTTTAAGTGTCCCGTTAAATTGCTCATAGAGACTGTTGGACTGGGGGTGGTAAGCGGAGTTTAGGATAGATTTTATCCGACATACCTTCCAGGGTTGGTGGGTGACCTCTGCAGTAAACTGGGTGCCCCTATCCAAAATAATCTCCTGGGGAAATACCATGCGGGAGAAGATTTGCATTAGGGCATCCGCTATGATCTCTGCATGTACATTGGTCAGCGCCACCGCCTCTGGATAGCTAGTGGTGTAGTCCACTACGGTCAAGATGTACTGCTTGCCGGAGGGACTAGGCTTAGCTAGGGGGCCTATTAAATCAACGGCCACCCTACTAATGGGCTCTTCAATTATGGGTAGGGAACAGTTTTGCTTTATAGCGGTCCCCTCGCTTTCCTACTCTCTGGCAGGTATTGCAGGTTTGACAATATTGTCAAATGAGATACCTGGCCAGAAGAAGTTCTGTGTCAGCCGATGTTTAGTTCGGCCGATGTTTAGTTCGGCAGATCCCTAAATGCCCTGATAACGGTATATCACTCGCGATGCGCAGCAAGTCCAGTCTATATTTGCAGGGTATTAACTGTTTAGTGGACATGGGGATGGACCCGGCTATTACTTTCGCTGCGTAGCGGTATGGTAAACCTTTGTCCCAGGCATATCTCTGTCCCTCCAGACAGTCTTGGTCCTTGTCTAGTCTATCCTTATAGACCTGCAGGGAGGGATCTAGGGCTACCTCGCTGCCAAATTCGAAGGGTGCATCCCAGGGAAGAACAGCAGGGTTGTGGGGCAGATTGCTTACCTGAGCCTCAGAGTGATCGGATGGAGCCGTGGTGCGGGCCTGCTGCCGGCTAGTAACAGGGTAGGCTTCCTGGACGGTGGGTTGAGGGACAAAAGCGGAAGTGAGCTCCCACAAGTCGTTGCCCAAAATAACATCAGCTGGCAAATCCTGCATGATCCCCACCTCCACAGTCCCATGCCCCGCTCCCCAATCCAGATGTACCCTGCCACTCGTTTGGCCACACAGTCTCCGGTGATATTGTCCTTTGGAACAAGATGATTCCGGACCAAAGTCAAGGTGGCCCCAGAGTCACGTAACCCCTGTACACTCTTCCCCTCCATGTGTACCACCTGGCGGTGCCCCTGGTTGTTATTCGAGGCAGCTTGTATGGGGTTGACCTCGTGTAGGGCCCCCAGTGGCTCTACTACCGGTGTTGCTGTAGTGTGCGGGACAGAAGATTCCCTCTGGTAACAATGTACCGCAGCTCTGCCACTGGGGGGTGGGCCTTGGTTATGCCAGTTATTGTTCTGTGGGCAGTCCTTTTAGATATGCTCCTGCTGGTTGCAGGTGTGGCAGCGAATCTGCGACCAAGTATTGTACCTCGGAGGGTCCTGGATATTGCTTACCCCTGGTCATGGGTGAACCGAAGTAGTAACTGCTGGGAGACACGCTGCAGACCCGTATGCGGATCGGTGCTGTTATCGTTGGTATCTCCTGGTGTCCTGGAATTCGCCAGCCAGTTTGGCTGCCTCTTGTAGAGTACAGGGTTTACGGTCTCGTACCAAATTCTGCAGGCCTGTTGTCAGCCCGTTGAAGAACTGTTCCAATGCGATTAACTGAAACAGATCTTCTAGGGTGGTGGCTTGTGTTGCTTCCACCCATCCCTTGGCGGCTCGCTATAAATCGGTGAGCCCATTCCGTGTGAGAGTCTCTCTTAGGTTTTTTTTTTTTTTTAAGATCTCGGAATTTGAGTATGTATGCCTCTGAGGTGATGGCATAACGAGCTAAGATGGCTTGCTTGACCTCCGGATAGTCCCTGCTGTCCTCGTCTGGGACTGCACGGTAAGCTTCTGCTGCGCGGCCAGATAATCTGCTGGCAAGCAGGGGTACCTGGTCTGATGTCATGCAGCTGGCACAACCTTTCTAAGTCCTGCAGGTATTCGTCGATATCGCCCTCTGCTTCGGTGTAAGTCTTAAATGCTTGGTGGGGTGGGGGCTTTCCCCTGGAGAATGCTGGATGGAGCTTGGGACCCTTCCCTGGATTGCTGGTCGCCTGGCCATGAGGTATTCGTGCACATCTGCCATCAGTCCACGGTTTCTGTGGTTGGTGTTTCTGGATAAAATGCCAACCTGCTCCTGAGCTCTTTTTTGAATTCCGTTTGCGCTGTCTCCAGTGGAGGTGCTGCATGAGTTGCTCTGTCTCCCTCCATGAGTTCGGCAATAAGGGCAGCTTTCGTCTTGTTGCTGGCTATTTTTCCCCTTCCCTCCAATAGTTCCTTTAATGTGGTTCGCTTCAATGTTGCATAGTTCGTCTCCATTCACTGTCCGTTCGTATAGTTTCACATATTCCTGAATTCCGGTTTTATCCGAATGGTTGTTTTACCGAACCGCTGCTTTTCTCTTCCTCATTCGTATAAATAACTCCCGAACGCTGCTCTTCTGTGAGGTTTAAATCCAGTCGCTTGCCACCAATTGTAGCGGGGTTGTAGGTTAATCCACAATATCTCCGCCGGTAGTCAGGATACAGCATACAAAATACAGGTAGCATAGTAATAATCCCTTATTCCCAAGATCTAGACGACACATAGTTTGGGAATCAACTGAGCTCTTATTCCAAGGTCACTATATTTATACAAGTCCCCATGCAAGCGGTTTCCTTACTGACATTGCAGGGGTTTTACTCAAGTGGACTTTGTGGGAAACTTAACTTTTCAGACTATATCCCATCATACAGTACTGTACTGGAGAGATGATGACGCACTGATACAGTGTTAATTACATTATCTCTCTGTACAGCAAAATACACCATTTAACATTAAATTCTATAAGTCATGTAATTTTACTCAGAATTAGCCGAATGACCCCTCATTGAATGGCTGGGATCTGAGCGCAGCATCTGGCAAAATACCACGCAGATCCATTCACTAGAATAGCAAAGCCATTGAAATGAAGGGTTCATTCATACGAACACACATTACAATATACAGTGGAAAATGGGTTGGTGAAACAGAAGCATTCGTGAGTTTTAGAGTTTGTCGAACGTTGTCTTATTTGCACGACTGAACAATTTAACCGAATGAACAATTTAAACAAAAAAGACATGGAAGTCCAGCGGTGTTCGTGCAGTCGAGTAGCAGATTTTAGTTTCAGGCACTCAACAACCAATCACCGCTGGGCTTTCATGAGCAAAGACGGTCGCCGCCACGTGTTTGGTTACATGAACGGCGGCCACCCGCAAAACCATTAATTATCTGCAGTTACAATGTGGCTATTTCGTTAATGGGAGACACACGCCTCCCTTGTGTGGTCTCCCATTCAGTAGTTTTGTTAGTTTCCCAAACAGTGGATTCCATTATTGTTCGTGAAACTACTATAGGAATGCTCATGGTTTTCGTGCCGCTAGCATTCGAATGCTTTTCACTTCAGACAAAAGAAAAGACAATAGCAAAATACGTATTCACCAAGTCCTTAGTTTCCTGAAGTGGCGAGGTTTGCCACACTCAGAAAATGACCCACAACAAACTACCAGTAGTATTGCAACATATTACAAAACTTGTGCATTGTCGTATGATGTGTGGCTTCTTTTTCTGTAAAACCAAAAAAAGGTACTAAATAAAAAATTTATAAAAAATAAAATGTGGAATATAATGTGTCAAACAAAATTAGCGAGATAGTGCCCTCCTTTCAAGTACCTTCTCTCTGTAGAAGTTGCTGTTTATCCTACTTAGGCTGTCAAACATGTGATCACAACTCTCTAGATCTTGGACCTGCAGAAACAAAATAAAAATAAAAAAAAGTAACAAAAAGTAGAGAGGAAGAGAAAATTAGTTAGGCTAAAAATTAAAATGAGAGCGGCACGGTCATGCTGAACTTCCCCTTTCCCCAATCGATTCCTCTTCTCTCCCTCTGTCAGGATCTGTTCATTTCTTCCTGTCTGTCTTATGTTTTAAAGAAAACTAGAGCAAAGTAGGGACTACTTTGTCTTATGGAGGTTTCATACGCCTGACCAGCGGAGGAGCAAAGTGTGCTTTGTTTCCGGTGATCAAAGCAATTTCCCCACAATTCTCCCCTTTGATCTGTGATCTTGCGATGCTTCCTGTCAGTATTCCCAAACGTCCTGTCACTTAGACTACCGAATTTCGTCCTAACAGAATGAGAACAGTTTGTTCATTTAGGTTAGGAAGCATTATGGGACTTTGTATCAGAATTTCATTCATATGAAATAAGATATGAAATGATCTTATTTGTGCATCTTGCAGCCGCTTAGTAGATAACTCCTTAATTCCCACAGTATCAGGGAGCTATTTACCAAAAGCTGAAAAACCTAATGTCTAGTAAATTAAAAGGACAGAGCACTCTGGTTGGATTTCAAGCCAACCAATCGGAGTGCTCTGACAGGTAAATGAAGAGACGGACAGTTAAGTCTCTAAATTTACCTGACAGCACTCTGATTGGTTGGCTTGAAATCCAACCAGAGTGCTTTGTGTCATTTTAATTTTCCCATGCTGTGTAATTTAACTCATAACACTGATTGGTTGCTATCAAACAACCAGATAATGAGTCAAAAAACACAGCAAGGGAAAATTCCAAAGAACTTTCCCACGCTATGTATAAAGACAGAGCCCACCAGCGTGATGTGACAGGTAAATTTAGAGACTTACCCGTCAGTCTCTTCATTTACCTGTCAGAGCACTCTGATTGGTTGGCTTAAACCAATACTCTGACTAAAAAAAAAAAAAATTTAAACAAGGTAAATCCTGTATAAAATAAACAGATAAAACAACATAGTGTAATCTGTATAAAAGGTAGCGCAAAGAAGGTGAGGTTAATTGGAGAACTCACACTTTACAGAGCCCTTTAGAAGTTGGATCTGAACTGTAAAAGCATTTCATCCACACAAAGGGATATCTGGATAGACAAAAATGTAACAGCTCCTCTGAATTGCCACAATCTTGTTCAACAGCCACAGAAGTCAGGAATCAACCATAAAGGTATACAAGTCTTTATTTAAATAGAATTTATCAAATCCAAAAGATAAATACAAGTACAACCTATATAAGGTTTTCCTCAGGTGCAGTATACTCATAACAGGCACAAGTACACACACACACACACACAAATAAAAAAAAAAGTGCTCGAATTGGCTATGTGAAGATTCATAGTTAGTTGTATATAATTGTTTTGATCCAAAGTGCCAGGCCTATTTTAATGTTTTTATTTTTATTTTTTTTGCTTGTAACCTCTAAGGCTTAGAATAATTCATGCTTTATTTTTCTTTCTTAATAGGACTGTAGATTCAGGTTATTGTGAAAATACATTTGTGATAATCCCTCCCGATTAAATGGAAGGAAATAATGGGACAACTACGGTGTCCATTTCTCCTCTTATTCTCTTGCCCTTTTTCCTATTTCGAAGTTTAAAAATAGGGGGGAGTGCATTGGACCATATACACTTTTTGGTTATTATGTTGAAGATTTTTGAAACACTGGGCACGTATCACTAATGAATTGTGTGATCCTTTGCACCGTTTTGCACTTAAATTAGTATGCATTGGCACTTTAAATATTTTTGCACCACTTATCGATCAGACAGATCAATTTCACATATAGGAGGTTTCTCATCTTTTTGATACACTAGTATAACTGTATCCATATGGATATCTTAGTCTTATAATAATAGGGTATTATGGGTTTTGGTATGGCTGGTATAGCTATAACACTTGTAATACTCATTTACTCACTTATATTATAGTAGTCTATTACACAATATTCATCACATTATGTTAGGAACCAGGATAAACTCCAGGGAGCCTGAATATTGGTCACTTTCAGCTTGACAATAAGGTGTTAAGCTAGTATTAAGATATGGATTATGTTGTATGGTGCACTTTAGGGTCCTGATTGGACCCGTGATAGTTATTACTTTTAGTATTATATTGTATTTTCAATTTAAGTGTTAATTATGAACATGTACGTTGTAGAAGGGAGGAGAGTATGCTGACATTCCCCAGAAAATGTTTTCTGATATATATGTATACTTGAATGCTGGTAATCCTGCTTCCTGATCGCGGGTCAGACACTCAGACCGGGGGAACAAGCACTCTGCGCATGCGCCAGCATCTCCTTGACTACCGAGAATGCTGGCGTCCAGGAAGTACACTGAAAGATAAGTGATAGACGCGATCAGCGTCACGATCTCCATGGCAACGACGTCACGTGTTGATGACGTCAGCGCAATTAGTGAGACGCTGAATCCCGGTGGTGCCTGTCCTGACGCTCGAGAGGAGAGGCCAGCCCCTTACACACCTGAATGGTAAGTTCTTTTTTGATGTTTTTATTTAAACTAAGTTTGTTTCATTTGTTTTATGTTTGCTGTCCTGATGAAAGCTTCCAAGCGGAGCTGAAACGTCAACCTTTGGAGTAAAGAACTATTTCTTTTTTACAAAACCTGGGAGTGCTGATTATGAGACAGACAGGTTTAAACTACACGTGTTAATTAGTATGTACACTCCCATCAATCTAAAGATAAAAACGAAAGTTCTCCCTTATTTAGTATCTCATTGGCTAACCCTCGTTCTAAAAATTGTGTACATATGTTTTATTCATTCTTTTATAGGTATTTATATCTTGTAGTTGATGTTTGATTCTCTGAGAATGTATTTGCGGATGCTATTTAAGATTCTAAAAGATCCCCTCTGCTAAAAAAATTTGCAAACAAAGCTTCCTCATAAAACTATTAATATCAATATAAGCTTCATATTTTTTATGGGGCAACTTGGGACAAAATTTAAAACCTTTGGTTAAAACTTTTGTTTGTGTAGGAGATTAAGTTTTTTTGAGGATTTTCGTTTTTTATCTTCAGAACACCCCAGAATCCCAGTTATTTATATCCTACCCAAAATACATAAGGACCCGATTAATCCTCCAGGACGTCCCATTGTATCGGGTATTGATCCTGTTTTATCCCCCCTATCACAGTATATAGATACACATTTAAAATCTTTAGTGGCCGTCTTATTTGCAAGATTCTATGAGTCTTTAAATACTTTGAAAGATTTTAAAATGGGACGATGACTTTCTTTTAATCACATGTGATGTCACAAGCCTCTATACAATCATAGAACATCAGGAAGGATGTGAAGCAGTTGAACTTTATTTAAAACAATCTAATAAATTCTTAGACACAAATTTTGTTTATTTTAGATGGTATTAGAATGATTTTAACCAATAATTATTTTTAGTTTGAAGGTGATTTTTATGTATAAGTTAGAGGTAACGCAATGGGGACCAAGCTTGCTACAAGTTAGCCAAATCTTTTCATGGCCTATTTGGAAAAATTTTTTATTTATCAGGGCCATGATTTTGGTGCAAACTTTGTCTTCTATAGAAGGTATATAGACGATATTTTTATAACATGGAAAGGATCTAGCAAATTTTTTTTATAAATCAATTGAACCATAATGAATGGGGTATACATTTAACCAAAATGTTAGCAAAACAAATATCAATTTTCCAGACCTTGACATCTATATTCTTAATGAAAAATTTTTTTTTTTTTTTAAACTCATACTTATTTTAAACAAGTGGATGTCAATAATTTTATTGAGATAGATAGCGGTCATCATTGCCTATGGTTATCAAATACACCCAAAGGTGTTCAAACAAAGAGAGGGAGTGGGTAGTGAAAGGAAAAAAGTGTGGGGGGGAGGGTAATGCATCTTTGGTACAAAACAGTATGTGAGAGGAGCCTGCTCACTGTAACGTTCAAGAGTCGCCCTCACTAACTCGTCTGTGTCCATTTTTACGTAATAAAATTAAAAAACAAACAAGATACTCCACCACCTCCCAATATATAGGTAAATGTATATTTAACGGTCACAAGCATTTAAAGCTGGTTATACAGAGTTGGAGTGTGCTCACATCATTGAAACGTGAGAGTGGCAGATGCTTGATGTGACAGACACCCTGATTATAAAGGGGTCAATTCCGCCAGGGATGTCCTCTTCCCTTAGAAGGAGCAGAGCTGCAGGATTCTCCCGTAGATATTCCAGCCGACAAAGGATCCAATAACGTTGTGAATCTCTTACAAAAGCTAGTGATATAGCTGTGAAGCAGGTTCCCTACAATTACGAGACCAGGCTACGTGTTGAACATTAAGCAGGAATTAAATTTTAGGGGTGCCACACTGGCCTTTTATGACAATCCCCATGCAAGAGGTAATGGACCTTGTTGGGGACAGGGACACAAACTTGTAAACCAATAACAATAGAGTTACATTCTAAGGCACTCCCATGCATGGCATACAATCCCTCCCCTCTGCTTGGGAGATAATAGAGTTAATTACTGTATCAACTCAAATATCTGCAGGCAGAAGAAACATTTCTAAAAAGTACCCCAAAACACATATCCCCGGATAGCCCTGATCTGGGTGACCAACATATCCAAAAACCACCTGTATCAGTTAAGGGGCTCAGAAATTTTATGGAAGTCATTTTTTACTGACCACAGGCATGGTCCCATAGCCGAAAATAGTTCCATAGAATTGCGGCTATGTGCCGCTGGAGGACCGACCGGAAACCACGAGGTTTTCATGCTGGAAATAGTTCCAGGGCATTCGCGGCTAAGTCCCCCTGAAGTCTATTTGCGGTTTTAGTCCATGCAAACAAGATGGCCGCCACCTTGTGGTCGAATGGCACTTCAAATGACTTCGGGAGTGCCGCTTTGAAAGTTCGCATTGTGGCCATACAAGTACAAAAAGGCACAAATAGTGGTTTTAACCATGATTTAACACAGGGGCCATAGTCACAGGGCAAGAGGTTGGCAAGTATGCCCCTCCAAGAACCAGTGACGAGGTCCGGTTCACCACACTTTAGATTTGTGGACAATTTAACTAAAAAAAGCCAGAGCTGAATGCCTATTTTCAGAGGATACAGCAGACCATACATCAAATTACATCTGAAATGAATAATGATTTTCTTACCTTGGAAAAATTAATTATAGAAACTAAAAATTTGATCGGAAGGAGCGACATTGCAGAAATATTTGGAAGTTAAACGAATACCAAGAGGTCTGAGGTTGAAGGGACTTTCCAGGCACCAAAACAACCTAGCCCTGCAACTGTCAAAAATGATCTACGAAGCCCTCAATTAATACTTTTCTAACAACCTACTTTGTACCCCTACTTTTACCCTCTGTGTCACTATACCCCACTCCCTCTAGAATGTAAGCTCATGGAGCAGGGCCCTCTTCCCCTCTGTTCCTGTACGTCTGGTTACAATTACATGTATGCTAGTCCACCCATTGTACAGCGCCACGGAATCTGATGGCGTTGTATAAATAATAATAAGTTGTTATGGTGCTAATGTTGTGCACAAAATAATAGTTTAGTAAAATGCCTATTTACTCTATGTAATCATGATCAGTATTATTCAGTGACTACTCAAAATGGCCGCCGGGAGTCAGCCCCTCCATCGACTGACTACCTCGTGTTACAAGATGGTGTTGGAACCTGGGGGAGACATTCATGATAAAAGCAATATCACACCGAGTGGGATGTACATTGAATGCATCACGTAACACCTAACCAATTATTAATGTATTTTTCTCTGTTAATTATAATTATGCATATGATGTATTTCTGCTTTATAAGGGCATGCCGGCCCAGAGAATAAAGCATTCCTGAGTATTTCATCAACCGGGAAACGTGTCTGGTGTGAAATTACTTCTGGAAAGCATGCAT